ATGCAGTTACCCTGTTGGGGTCTAGTTAACTAAGAGCGTGTTATGCAGTTACCCTGTTGGGGTCTAGTTAACTAAGAGTGTGTTATGCAGTTACCCTGTTGGGGTCTAGTTAACTAAGAGCGTGTTATGCAGTTACCCTGTTAGGGTCTAGTTAACTAAGAGTGTGTTATGCAGTTACCCTGTTGGGGTCTAGTTAACTAAGAGTGTGTTATGCAGTTACCCTGTTGGGGTCTAGTTAACTAAGAGCGTGTTATGCAGTTACCCTGTTGGGGTCTAGTTAACTAAGAGTGTGTTATGCAGTTACCCTGTTGGGGTCTAATTAACTAAGAGTGTGTTATGCAGTTACCCTGTTGGGGTCTAGTTAACTAAGAGTGTGTTATGCAGTTACCCTGTTGGGTTCTAGTTAACTAAGAGTGTGTTATGCAGTTACCCTGTTGGGGTCTAGTTAACTAAGAGTGTGTTATGCAGTTACCCTGTTGGGGTCTAGTTAACCAAGAGCGTGTTATGCAGTTACCCTGTTGGGGTCTAGTTAACTAAGAGTGTGTTATGCAGTTACCCTGTTGGGGTCTAGTTAACCAAGAGCTTGTTATGCAGTTACCCTGTTGGGGTCTAGTTAACTAAGAGTGTGTTATGCAGTTACCCTGTTGGGGTCTAGTTAACTAAGAGCGTGTTATGCAGTTACCCTGTTGGGGTCTAGTTAACTAAGAGTGTGTTATGCAGTTACCCTGTTGGGGTCTAGTTAACCAAGAGCGTGTTATGCAGTTACCCTGTTGGGGTCTAGTTAACTAAGAGTGTGTTATGCAGTTACCCTGTTGGTGTCTAGTTAACTAAGAGCGTGTTATGCAGTTACCCTGCTGGGGTCTAGTTAACCAAGAGTGTGTTATGCAGTTACCCTGTTGGTGTCTAGTTAACTAAGAGCGTGTTATGCAGTTACCCTGCTGGGGTCTAGTTAACTAAGAGTGTGTTATGCAGTTACCCTGTTGGGGTCTAGTTAACCAAGAGCGTGTTATGCAGTTACCCTGTTGGGGTCTAGTTAACTAAGAGTGTGTTATGCAGTTACCCTGTTGGGGTCTAGTTAACTAAGAGTGTGTTATGCAGTTACCCTGCTGGGGTCTAGTTAACTAAGAGTGTGTTATGCAGTTACCCTGTTGGGGTCTAGTTAACTAAGAGTGTGTTATGCAGTTACCCTGTTGGGGTCTAGTTAACTAAGAGTGTGTTATGCAGTTACCCTGTTGGGGTCTAGTTAACTAAGAGCGTGTTATGCAGTTACCCTGTTGGGGACTAGTTAACTAAGAGTGTGTTATGCAGTTACCCTGTTGGGGTCTAGTTAACTAAGAGTGTGTTATGCAGTTACCCTGTTGGGGTATAGTTAACTAAGAGCGTGTTATGCAGTTACCCTGCTGGGGTCTAGTTAACTAAGAGTGTGTTATGCAGTTACCCAGTTGGGGTCTAGTTAACTAAGAGTGTGTTATGCAGTTACCCTGTTGGGGTCTAGTTAACTAAGAGTGTGTTATGCAGTTACCCTGTTGGGGTCTAGTTAACTAAGAGTGTGTTATGCAGTTACCCTGCTGGGGTCTAGTTAACTAAGAGCGTGTTATGCAGTTACCCTGTTGGGGTCTAGTTAACTAAGAGTGTGTTATGCAGTTACCCTGTTGGGGTCTAGTTAACTAAGAGCGTGTTATGCAGTTACCCTGTTGGGGTCTAGTTAACTAAGAGTGTGTTATGCAGTTACCCAGTTGGGGTCTAGTTAACTAAGAGTGTGTTATGCAGTTACCCTGTTGGGGTCTAGTTAACTAAGAGTGTGTTATGCAGTTACCCTGTTGGGGTCTAGTTAACTAAGAGTGTGTTATGCAGTTACCCTGCTGGGGTCTAGTTAACTAAGAGCGTGTTATGCAGTTACCCTGCTGGGGTCTAGTTAACTAAGAGTGTGTTATGCAGTTACCCTGTTGGTGTCTAGTTAACTAAGAGCGTGTTATGCAGTTACCCTGTTGGGGTCTAGTTAACCAAGAGCGTGTTATGCAGTTACCCTGTTGGGTCTAGTTAACCAAGAGCGTGTTATGCAGTTACCCTGTTGGGGTCTAGTTAACTAAGAGTGTGTTATGCAGTTACCCTGTTGGGGTCTTGTTAACTAAGAGTGTGTTATGCAGTTACCCTGTTGGGGTCTAGTTAACTAAGAGTGTGTTATGCAGTTACCCTGTTGGGGTCTAGTTAACTAAGAGTGTGTTATGCAGTTACCCTGTTGGGGTCTAGTTAACTAAGAGCGTGTTATGCAGTTACCCTGTTGGGGTCTAGTTAACTAAGAGCGTGTTATGCAGTTACCCTGTTGGGGCTAGTTAACTAAGAGTGTGTTATGCAGTTACCCTGTTGGGGTCTAGTTAACTAAGAGTGTGTTATGCAGTTACCCTGTTGGGGTCTAGTTAACTAAGAGTGTGTTATGCAGTTACCCCTGTTGGGGTCTAGTTAACTAAGAGTGTGTTATGCAGTTACCCTGTTGGGGTCTAGTTAACTAAGAGTGTGTTATGCAGTTACCCTGTTGGGGTCTAGTTAACTAAGAGTGTGTTATGCAGTTACCCTGTTGGGGTCTAGTTAACTAAGAGTGTGTTATGCAGTTACCCTGTTGGGGTCTAGTTAACTAAGAGTGTGTTATGCAGTTACCCTGTTGGGGTCTAGTTAACTAAGAGTGTGTTATGCAGTTACCCTGTTGGGGTCTAGTTAACTAAGAGTGTGTTATGCAGTTACCCTGTTGGGGTCTAGTTAACTAAGAGTGTGTTATGCAGTTACCCTGTTGGGGTCTAGTTAACTAAGAGTGTGTTATGCAGTTACCCTGTTGGGGTCTAGTTAACTAAGAGCGTGTTATGCAGTTACCCTGTTGGGGTCTAGTTAACTAAGAGTGTGTTATGCAGTTACCCTGTTGGGGTCTAGTTAACTAAGAGTGTGTTATGCAGTTACCCTGTTGGGGTCTAGTTAACTAAGAGCGTGTTATGCAGTTACCCTGTAGGGGTCTAGTTAACTAAGAGTGTGTTATGCAGTTACCCTGTTGGGGTCTAGTTAACTAAGAGCGTGTTATGCAGTTACCCTGTAGGGGTCTAGTTAACTAAGAGTGTGTTATGCAGTTACCCTGTTGGGGTCTAGTTAACTAAGAGTGTGTTATGCAGTTACCCTGTTGGGGTCTAGTTAACTAAGAGTGTGTTATGCAGTTACCCTGTTGGGGTCTAGTTAACTAAGAGTGTGTTATGCAGTTACCCTGTTGGGGTCTAGTTAACTAAGAGCGTGTTATGCAGTTACCCTGTAGGGGTCTAGTTAACTAAGAGTGTGTTATGCAGTTACCCTGTTGGGGTCTAGTTAACTAAGAGTGTGTTATGCAGTTACCCTGTTGGGGTCTAGTTAACTAAGAGCGTGTTATGCAGTTACCCTGTAGGGGTCTAGTTAACTAAGAGTGTGTTATGCAGTTACCCTGTTGGGGTCTAGTTAACTAAGAGCGTGTTATGCAGTTACCCTGTAGGGGTCTAGTTAACTAAGAGTGTGTTATGCAGTTACCCTGTTGGGGTCTAGTTAACTAAGAGCGTGTTATGCAGTTACCCTGTAGGGGTCTAGTTAACTAAGAGTGTGTTATGCAGTTACCCTGTTGGGGTCTAGTTAACTAAGAGCGTGTTATGCAGTTACCCTGTAGGGGTCTAGTTAACTAAGAGCGTGTTATGCAGTTACCCTGTTGGGGTCTAGTTAACTAAGAGCGTGTTATGCAGTTACCCTGTTGGGGTCTAGTTAACTAAGAGCGTGTTATGCAGTTACCCTGTTGGGGTCTAGTTAACTAAGAGTGTGTTATGCAGTTACCCTGTTGGGGTCTAGTTAACTAAGAGCGTGTTATGCAGTTACCCTGTAGGGGTCTAGTTAACTAAGAGTGTGTTATGCAGTTACCCTGTTGGGGTCTAGTTAACTAAGAGCGTGTTATGCAGTTACCCTGTAGGGGTCTAGTTAACTAAGAGTGTGTTATGCAGTTACCCTGTTGGGGTCTAGTTAACTAAGAGCGTGTTATGCAGTTACCCTGTAGGGGTCTAGTTAACTAAGAGTGTGTTATGCAGTTACCCTGTTGGGGTCTAGTTAACTAAGAGCGTGTTATGCAGTTACCCTGTAGGGGTCTAGTTAACTAAGAGCGTGTTATGCAGTTACCCTGTTGGGGTCTAGTTAACTAAGAGCGTGTTATGCAGTTACCCTGTTGGGGTCTAGTTAACTAAGAGCGTGTTATGCAGTTACCCTGTTGGGGTCTAGTTAACTAAGAGCGTGTTATGCAGTTACCCTGTTGGGGTCTAGTTAACTAAGAGTGTGTTATGCAGTTACCCTGTTGCCCTCCCAGTTCAAAGTGTGTGATGACCACATTCGGTTACAGTGCCGGGAGGGGGCCACGTTTGGGGCCCCGGAACATGCATGGCGAGTGCGGTGGCGGCCCCAGAACATGCATGGCCGGTACGGTGTGGGCCCCGGAACATGCACGGCGAGCGCGGTGGGGGGGGGGCCCGGAACATGCATGCCCAGCGCGGTGACGATGGGGCCCCGGAACATGCATGCCCAGCGTGGTGGCGGTGGAGGGGCCACGGAACACGCATGGCCAGCGCGGTGTGGGCCCCGGAACATGCACGGCGAGTGCCGTGGCGGGCCCCGGAACATGCATGGCCAGCGCAACGGCGGTGGGGGCCCCGGAACATGCATGGACAGCGCGGTGACGATGGGGTCCCGGAACATGCATGGCCAGCGTGGTGGCGGTGGAGGGGCCACGGAACATGTATGGCCAGCGCGGTGTGGGCCCCGGAACATGCACGACCAGCGCGGTGTAGGCCCCGGTACATGAATGGCCGCGCAGTGTGGGCCCCGTAACATGCATGACCAGCGCGGTGACGGCCCCGGTACATGAATGGCCGGCGCGGTGTGGGCCCCGGAACATGCATGACCAACGCGGTGGCGGTGTGGGCCCCGGAACGTGCATGGCCAGCGCGAGCACGTGGTGCGGGCGGAACTGACATTAGCTTGTCCAATGCGCGGTCCGGGGCCCCGTGTGGTGTGTGCGCGCTACACGTGTGCGGGTGGCGTGGGGCGTTGTTGGTGTTACCTCCACCACAAAGCCAGCTCGCCAGCAAGTCAGCAAGCATCACCGTACCTACAGCCCGAGGGCGGCCGCAGCAGAAGCAGCGGGCGATATTTGAAGTTACAATCGCTCAATTGCTATTAGTTTCCCCCCTAAACCCCCCCTTTAATGCGCGTACTGCGACCACAACGAGCACAACGCAAATGGACGCTAGCGCGCGCGACTCGTCGTTCGCGAACAATAGCAGCGGCGGCGGCGGCGTCGGCGGTAACAACGCGGAGAACAACAGCTGGACGAAGAAGAGGAACGCTTTGAACGATGACCACCGTCGTGGCGGCGATGGGGACGACGACGACGCGAGCGACGAAGCTTCGTTGAAGCAGATGAAGCTCTGCGTCGATGACCTGGGCTGCCAGCTTAAAGTTCTGCGGCTCAACGACCAAATACGCGAGCTGCAGACCATCATTCGCGACAAGTGAGTTAGTTCGCGCCCGCTTTATTTTTGTAAAAAAAAAAAACTGCTCGTAGACATTGAGCCGCTGTGTTAAAAAAATTCACTGTTTAAAAAAAATTCACTGTAAAAAAATCTTTTTAAAAAAATTCACTGGTAAAAAAAACTAAAAATTCACTATTGGATGACCGTCGCCTACACCCCCTCCACTGTGTCCGGTGGGGAGTTTTTTCACCATCGCTGATCCGTGCGGGGTTTGAAGTGGGGAGTTCTTTCCCACCTTGCCCCGGACCCTGAACGGGTTCAGATGTCACAACCCTCGCCCCCGGCGTGAATTGGTCGTGGTAGGGAATCGAACTCTGCCATCGTTGCTGGCTTCATTAGTGGCAGTGCGCCGACCGTTGCGCCACCGCTCTCCTCTCCTATATCTAAACAGGACCCTGCGGGGTGGGCTGGTAGGAATAATACTAATACCGGTACAGGGATATCGACCGGGTATAGAGGAGTTAAAAAGAAAATGATTTGTGCATGGGGGGTGAGCGATGACGTCCACACCCCCCTCCCCACTGACTCGCGCGCCCACAGAGCAAGGATTGCAACAGGCGATGTCATTGGCTGCGCCGGATGCGACGGCCATCTTGTTTAGTTCATTTAGTTCACGGATCGCAGGGGGAGCGGGCGGCCATCTTGTCAGACTATCTTGTCATCTTGTCAGAGGGACGGCCTCGCGAAGCCTGTCGCAGTAGGCCTCGCGAAGCCTTCTGCACTAGGCCTCGCGAAGCCTTCTCTGCACTAGGCCTCGCGAAGCCTTCTCTGCACTAGGCCTCGCGAAGCCTTCTCTGCACTAGGCCTCGCGAAGCCTTCTCTGCAGTAGGCCTCGCGAAGCCTTCTCTGCACTAGGCCTCGCGAAGCCTTCTCTGCACTAGGCCTCGCGAAGCCTTCTCTGCAGTAGGCCTCGCGAAGCCTTCTCTGCACTAGGCCTCGCGAAGCCTTCTCTGCACTAGGCCTCGCGAAGCCTTCTCTGCACTAGGCCTCGCGAAGCCTTCCCTGCAGTAGGCCTCGCGAAGCCTTCTCTGCACTAGGCCTCGCGAAGCCTTCTCTGCACTAGGCCTCGCGAAGCCTTCTCTGCACTAGGCCTCGCGAAGCCTTCTCTGCACTAGGCCTCGCGAAGCCTTCTCTGCACTAGGCCTCGCGAAGCCTTCTCTGCACTAGGCCTCGCGAAGCCTTCTCTGCACTAGGCCTCGCGAAGCCTTCTCTGCACTAGGCCTCGCGAAGCCTTCTCTGCACTAGGACTCGCGAAGCCTTCTCTGCACTTGGCCTCGCGAAGCCTTCTCTGCAGTAGGCCTCGCGAAGCCTTCTCTGCAGTAGGCCTCGCGAAGCCTCCTGCACTAGGCCTCGCGAAGCCTTCCCTGCAGTAGGCCTCACGATGCCTTCCCTGCAGTAGGCCTCGCAAAGCCTCCTGCACTAGGCCTCGCGAAGCCTTCCCTGCAGTAGGCCTCACGATGCCTTCCCTGCAGTAGGCCTCGCGATGCCTTCCCTGCAGTAGGCCTCGCGAAGCCTCCTGCACTAGGCCTCGCGAAGCCTTCTCTGCAGTAGGCCTCGCGATGCCTTCCCTGCAGTAGGCCTCGCGATGCCTTCCCTGCAGTAGGCCTCGCGAAGCCTCCTGCACTAGGCCTCGCGAAGCCTCCTGCAGTAGGCCTCATGATGCCTTTTCCGCAGTAGGCCTCGCAAAGCCTGCCGCACTAGGCCTCGCGCCGTACTTTTCGTGCACAAATAAGGCGATTAAATGTATCTCGTCTCTGTGTTAATAAATGTATCTTGTCTCTGTGTTAAAAAAAACGTGCTGCGTTTCAGTAAAGTAAATTTGAAGCGAAGTTTAAAGTTTCGCCGTGAGGCGCCAGAAGCGACGGCCATCTTGTTTAATTCACAGATCGCAGGGGGAGCGGGCGGCCATCTTGTTGGACAGGGTCATGCCAAGTGTGTGCAGTAGGGGGCGATGTTGATGCACGGACGGACGGACAGACACATTAATCTATTGGTGGTCTGGTCCACTTCATTCCTACCAGAAAAATTCACCATTGGATGACAGTCGCCCCCACCCCCTCCACTGTGTCCGGTGGAGAGTTTTTTCACCATCGCTGATCCGTGCGGGGTTTGAAGTGGGGAGTTCCTTCCCACCTTGCCCCGCCCCATGACCGGGTTCAGATGTCACAACCCTCGCCCCCGGCGTGAATTGGTCGTGGTTGGGAATCGAACTTTGCCATCGTTGCTGGCTTCATTAGCGCCACCGCTCTACTCTCCTATATCTAATACTATGCAGTTGTACTGTACTCTACGCCTTTACGTGTCACCATCAAGCACATTCCACGTGCGGTAAACGTTGCGGTAGCTTCAAAGCGATGCTGTTCTCATTCTTAAGACGAGCCTCATGGACAAAAAAAACGAACTGCCTGTAAGATGTGTATCACACTGGCTGGGTCGTATAGCGTTACACATCCACACACCGAGAAAGTAAAGGTTTATATGTCTGTTGTACGGGCGTCCCGGACACTTCGCCGACGATTAAAACAAAAACAACCAAACAAAAACTTGGATAAAGTCACGGTCGAAATGCGGCTTCGACTTGGCCGCGAATTCAGAAGCGGTTTGGCTGGAGTTGTTTGAAACGCACTGCGGATTATGAAGCCCCCGGGGCGACAGGCGTGATGAGTTCGATTCGACGGCCACGCCTCGGTGTGTGATGTCTTTTGACACTTTGTCTGGGCCTTCCCTCCCATCGTCTCGCCAAAACCTATGTTTGACCACGCCAAAACCCACGTTTGACCACGCCAAATCCACATTTGACCACGCCAAATCCACATTTGACCACGCCAAACCCACGCTTGACCACGCCAAACCAAACCCCACGTTTGAATTATGATCAAGCAAACCTCTAAACCACGAGTTTTTCCATCAGCAAGCAGTGGATTGCCAAGGGTCTGTCGATCATTTCAATGGCACAGGGATTTGTCTTTTTGTTTTCTATTTGTGTACACGCAATGAGAGCGTTGTTCAACACGCTCCCGGAATGTACGTCTCAGCTGCTTGTGATCTTGTGCTGTGTGTCAACTCGTGTTGTCACTTGCCGTGGAAAATTGCGGAATTTTCTTAACTGGAAATGAAACTATTTGACGACAGTACAGTATAACTATAAATGCTGATTTCTGTCACCGAGAGGATTTATTTATTTCTCAGAATAGACTTGTTCAGAAATTCAGGGGCCTTATTTGTCATTATGTATGTTGTGTTGCACTTCTTTCGCACCGTACATAGCCAACCGTGCGAATTGGAGGTGCGGGGGAAGGACAACAAACTAAACACAACAAGAAGAAGCAGTTCTCAAGAAATGAGGAGGATAACAGTGCCACTTGAAGGCTATTTTTTTTTGGGGGGGGGGGGGGGGGATCTGTAAAAGAATTGCTTCTGTGTGCCGTTCTCTGGCACATCGGACACATTTCCTCTGCAACATTTCCAAACGGATTATAGTGTCATATTCTTGGTTCTTTCGGTAAAGTCACGTAGAAGGGAAACAATAAAGAACCAAGAATATGAATCCCTGCAGTCACGAAAGCTTTAAATCAGGATTATAGTTTGTTTCACGACGACATGACCTCGAAAGCACAACTGGTATTCGCGAAAAATATACTGGAAATACTGGGTGGCTTGTATGCATATTTTTGTTCATGGTGGAATGACTAAAAAACACGAAATCAAATCATCGGTACGATACTTTGCATGCGGTTTCACATGCAAAATATCCTCTGCAAAAGTAGTTAACGAAGTGCGGGGCAATGTTTCTGCATGGATTTGGCCAATCGGCCAACGTGCGGGGCGACGTTATAGTTTTGTCAAATTTATACCACGGCTCTGGCACGTGTGGCCCTACCACTTTTATTTACACGCTTTTATTTAACTCACTCTGTTGTATCCTCAAATCTTGTAACTCAATTTTAACCCACTTCCCAATGTCGTATCGACTGCTAACTTGGTATACGTATGTCATACTGATGACAATACTATATTCTATCATTAAAAAAAGAGAGGGTTGATGATTTCCATGGTAAATAGAAGCAACGGCACCAGCGAAACAACACGTGGTGTGTGAAGGGATGTTGGACGGTGTGAAAGATTGAGGGGGTGGCTCCTAAACTGTGTACATGTTGAACTTCTTTCGCGCCATACGTAACCAACTGTTCTAATCGGAGGTAAAAATGCCACGTTTCTTTTTTCAAGGCCTGTTCTGTCACCGTGCACCGGTAATGCACGTGTTTTTGTCACACAACATAAACGACTAGTTTGTTTACCTGTCCTAGGACGGAAGCTGTAATATTTTTGAAAAAATTGAGCAGAGTATAATTGTATCTTGTGGAAACTTAATGGCAGTGAATCTTGCACAAAAGTACGTCATAAAACACTTCACTGCACTTCACTGTGGCACTTAATGGCAGTGATTATTGCACAAAACTAAGTCATAAAACACCTCACTTAATGTCACTGTAGCACTGTATATAACTGACCTTTAATTTGTTCAAATTCACGGCTCTGATACTTGATTCTCTTCTGCTTTCGGTCGCCGAGGTTGAAGTAAATTGGAATTCGATACAATATCTGGAAAATCTATTTTACCATAATGTAGCATTAGACTTACCTTTTTTCTCAAGTGCTGAAGAAATAACGACACCAAAATCCACTTTGTTGCTGCATATCATTATTTATTAGAATAACTTTCAATAAAGAAACGTCAAACTTAAAGCGAACTTGCGAATTTTTATTTATTTTCACTCGACCTTCTGGACGAGTGTAAAAATCCACCCGCTCATGAATATTAATGAGGGGGGGGGGTGCGGCATGTGGAGTGACGTCACGCGCGTTACACACAAACTGGCATTCTTTGCTCATTATAGTAGTAATTCTCATCAGTTCCTGCAGGATAGAATACAGTTCTCAAAATATTCGTAAGTAGTGCCACGCTTTAAAGCGTTCGTGACTGCAGGGATTCATCTTCTTGGTTCTTTCGGTAAAGTCACGTAGAAGGGAAGTAATAAAATAATAAAAATAAAACATAATAAAAAATAATTCTCACGACGTTTCGGCCACAACGCAAGCAGTCGTCATACGCTCCAAGCTTGGTAGTGTTTCATTCTTCACCTGAGGACGGCTGCTTGCGTTGTGGCCGAAACGTCGTGAGAATTATTTTATTATGTTTTATTTTTATTATTTTATTACTTCCCTTCTACGTGACTTTACCGAAAGAACCAAGAAGATAGTGCCACGCTTTGGGAAGTCGACACCAGTGGCTGTGCATACGGGGGGGGGGGGGGGGGGGGGGGGGGGGGGGAGGCTCCGACCAGTCTCTGCCTTCGGGCTGTTATCAGAGATGAGCACCACTACCCTGCTGCTCGAGCAGTGACGCGCTTTGATTGAACTTGAGTAGGTGTTGGTCTGCATTCCAGCCTTGTGCTGGTGGGGCCGTTGAAATGTCAGATTTGTTTGAATTTACTTGAATTTTTTTTGTACGAATCTGACTTTTTTTCTTCTTGCTTAGGCGACTGGCGTCGTGTCTTGAGACAAAGCACAACCTATTTTTAAATCCTTTATATTAAGTTCACTTGCTTGCTTGCTTGCTTACGACCGTGCAAATCTTTCGGTCGTTTTTTTAACCCACTTCCCGTGATCCAATCGAGCTGACATTTTGCACACAGACTCGTTGTGCGTGACAATGTATTTTCGTGAAAATTTTTTTTCCAAAATTGTACACTTTTTAGGAAAAAATTAATTATATTTAATTACCAATTGCTTAATGGTGGCAGCCATCTCAAGCCAGAGGACGAGAGGACTCTAGCCGCCACGCATATAAAGGATTTATAGTGAAAAACTTTGTTTTTACGGGTTAATTTTTATTATACCAGATAATGCCCACTGAGCTTTTTAGCTTCTTTTCAGAAGCGACCTGGCCACAAATGATAGCTCAACCAAGTGGCTTATCGTGTGGAAATTTCTAGCAGCCAAAAACTCGAAACGCCACGTCGATTCTAAATGTGGAGGGGAAAAAACCGAAGGACCCGGAGAAAAATCCACGCGACCACTGGGAGAGAGAGAGACACGCAAACTCCAAATATACAGCTGGTGTCAGGGGTCTGGATAAAACCCACGACATTATACTCTTGCATTGATCGTAATGTTTGTTGCATAATAAACTAGAAAATGGAAATTCCCATAGGGTGGAATTTAACCAACTGAAACGCAGAACCAAATTTAATGTGATGCTGTTTATTCGTGCATTCATTGTTGACGTTAGCGGTGTGCCGTCTGTATTCCGCAGGTCGACCAGCAGAGGGGACTTCGTGTTCAGTGCCGACCGGCTGGTACGTTGCGGTGTGCGCACGCGCGCGGGGCCTAACGCAAAGCCGACCAGACGGGGAGCTTCAAAGCGTTGAAATGTCACGAGCTAGGGGCGGGGGCAATAGCAGCAGTAATAAACGACGCTGCCAGCATCGGCAAATAAACGTCAAGGCCCTCTTTGCTTCGTTTGTTACGCTTTATTGAACAAAAGCTAATAAACTAATACTAAACGATAAATACATTGACGGTCGTTTTGCCGCACAGAAATGTCTTGCGAGTATGGCAGATCTAGACCTGATAATTGGTTTTTTACCCTTCTATCTGGCAACAAAACTGACACCTTTTTTACAAGGAGTCATGTTTGCATAGACCACAATACCTGCAGTCATAATGCAAACAAAAAATATAACTCTGATAATGTATGCACATTATATTTTTTGTTTGCATTATGACTGCAAGTATTGTGGTCTATGCAAACATGACTCCTTGTAAAAAAGGTGTCAGTTTTGTTGCCAGATAGAAGGGTAAAAAAACAATTATATTTTTTACTGGCAAATGAGGTTCCAATGTTGTATGAGCGTGTGTGCGTGTGTTGGTGGCAAACCGTACTGTCTTGATTAACGCCGTTGCTCTACGAACATGGCGACCCGAGTTTGATTCCCGCTCGCAACCAACATTGGCGTGAGGAATACCTGAAGGACACCTGGTGGGCGTCCTGTGCTTGTGTGCGCTCCGCCCGTTGTGCGTGCTCCGCGTAGATTCGCTTGGTCGTGGAAGAGGGCCTCAACCAACTCCCGTACAGCGACTGCACGGTGACCACCCCTACAGGTGAAGTCCTCACCGCTCGCTCACCCGCCCGCCCGCCCCTCCAGATGCCACTGCTAGTCTTGACACCTGTGATAAAGAGCTTCAGAGGTCATCGGATCAGAATCAGAATCGGAATATTTACCCTGGAGAAATCCGATGAGCTATTGAGCTCTGTTTTTTCACACATTTCCAGTCGGGGCACTGGGTGAGAAAGTTACAACAACAAATAATATAAAACAACGATAGGAGTGCAAAGTATAGAAAAGGTAAACAAATGACTAAAATTTCGATTTAAAGCTTTCGTGACTGCAGGGATTCATCTTCTTGGTTCTTTCGGTAAAGTCACGTAGAAGGGAAGTAATAAAATAATAAAAATAAAACATAGTAAAATAATTCTCACGACGTTTCGGCCACAACGCAAGCAGCCGTCCTCAGGTGAAGAACAGGTCCGTCGGAAAGACTGTCTGTCCCTACTACGTGACTTTACCGAATAAACCAAGAAGAGAAATCACTAAAAGTAAATGCATAATCTGAAACTAAGCAACTTTTATTTTACAAGGTAAAACCCACCGAGCTATTCTTTTTCAGAAGCGACCTGGCCGTAAATGGTAGTTCAACGAAAGAGCCTTATCACGTGGAACTCCAGTCTAAAGAAAGATTCTGAGATGGTTTATAAAAACAGGGGAGCGCTGGTGGTTAGGCCATATAAATGATTCGGCCAAATTTGTGTTGTGAAGACCCTCCACCACCTGCTGCAGCCAAACAAAATCAAATGATCCACGTGTAGTACAAGCATTTAAACGTCGATTGGTATTGTTCCATTTTCTTGGTTCTTTCGGTAAAGTCACGTAGAAGGGAAGACAGCGTCTGAATGAAACACCCCAGGCTTGGAGCATATATTAAAGCTGGGTTGGAGGGGGAAGAGCGCCTTGACAAAATAATTTGCATATCAAGAGGAATTTAGCATATTTATGGGAAATGCAGATATGGGATTAGTCACTACTTGTAAAATGCGTAGGAGGTGGGCAGGGGGTTTCAAAGTCATTATGCCCGTGCATTATGCAGGATTAGCAGCATCAAAGGGAGGGGGATAGGGTGTAGCATTGTTCCAGCGAACTCACCGGTAAGTTGAAGAACAATTCTCACAGGTCATGCTTGGCAGCAATTAGACACTCGGCGTTTCACTTGAAACCATATCGCACATTGTCGGGGCAAGGTCCAGGAAGTCGGGAATAAACATCCGGGAGGTTCTGATGATGCTTGACGCAGCGTCAAGCGAATAGTCTTATCTAATTACGGCTGAGAGAATGTTGCTCAATTCACCGATGAGTGAGCGAAGACAATAGCAACTACTGGGGCTCTGTTACATGCTTGTACACCATGTGACATATTTTTAGATTTGAAGCTTTCGTGACTGCAAGGATTCATACTCTTTCGGTAAAGTCACGTAAGTAAAAAATAAAATTAAAAGTTAATGAAAGTAATAATGGAAATAAAATAAAATAATAAATCACTTGATGCAGTTATTTTTGCTGTGACGGTCCCACCTGATGACGAAGCCTTGTGTTGCCTCCGAAACGTCGTGATTTATTATTTTATTTTATTTCCATTATTACTTTTATTAACTTTTAAATTTATTTTTTTACCTACGTGACTTTACCGAAAAAACCTAAGAGTATGTGACGTATTAATTTGTTTGGCTGTGTTGTCATGGCCTTGCCCAAAAACATCTATTATAAATCTTGACTGCAAAAATTGTACGTGTTATGTTAAAATAGCACTTTGCATTTCTATTGCTTCTAAATGACTCGTCATCTCAAATTACACCTGTGTCGTCGTAAAAGGTGCGGTGCGGTCACGTGATGATGACTTCTTCCTCTGCCACCATGGTCCCCCTTGTGGTGCAGGTCACAAGTACGAAGGCGTAAAGTTTGAGAAGGGCAACTGTGGCGTGAGCATCATGCGGAGCGGTGAGTCCATTGGGGCTGCGCGGCATCAAGCAGGACAACGTTTATTAGTTACGAGGCCGCAACCCACCTGGTTCGCGGAGCAGATAGAAGGGTTTGTTTGAGACGCCGCCGCCGCCTCCTGCGCCCCCCCTCCCTCCCCGCCACAGTCGTCCAGTGCCTTCCCGGAGCCGCCGAGAGGCGCCGAGGAGCTGGGCCCGGCGAGGCTCGAATCGGCTTCAGAGACTGCAGCCATGAGCCGATCAGACTCCCTCCTCACGGGGGGTAGGAGGGGTGATCGATTCTCTAGAGTCGGGCGCGTCGATTCGTGCGGTGTCGATTCCTATTGTGTGCGGGAGGAGATGCGTGGGATTTCGATTCTATTTTTAAGCGAGGAAATCGATTCTTGCGTTGTCGATTCCTATTGGGTTGGGGTTGATGCGTGGATGGGTTTCGATTCATTCATATCCCCCCTTGCCACGAGACTGAACACAACACAGATAACCCCCTTGCCACGGGGCTGTGCGCGGTCATAATAATAAAGATGCTTCCCTTCCCATCCCGGCAGAGTCTTCCGGATGACGCTGGGTCAAAGTTCACCCCCATTTAAAATTTGATTTAAAAATAATGTATTGGCCTTGGGGGATGCGGGAATCGATCCCGCCACCTCTCGCATGCTAAGCGAGCGCGCTACCCACTGAGCTACTGCCCCTCGACGTGGAACATGTCGAGTCCCTTATCTGCGACACCGTCTCACCAGGGCGCATCCATCTCCGCTCCTCCCCCCCCCCCCCCCCCCCCCCATCGCGTTCACTCGCTCTGTATCTCAGAGTCGTAATCTTTATTCAGATCGGAGGAATCCGATGAGCTATGAAGCGCTTTTTCACAGACGTCCAAGTGCAAAGAACGAGATGAGTGCAAAACAACGACGTGGCAAGCAAGCCACTGACAATATATGAATATAATAAAGTATGCAAGGACAAATTGCATAGGTACAGTACATTGCAAAGAAGCCATTGGAGTCGGCGTAGCTCTTCAATACAGATTGTTTTGGCGCGTTATTATCGCATAAACAAAATGTTTTATTACTTTAAGCGCAAATGGCTTCTATGCTCGTGAATGTAAAAAGTAGTTGCCTTTTTGAAAAATACAGTCTGTGTGGAGGACGCGGGTATCGATCCAGTGACCTAAACATCGGAGAATTCAACACACTTTGTGGCGTGCTCACGCTACCAGGTACGCTGATGTCTCCGTAGCCACCATGGTCCCCCTTGTGGTGTAGGTCACAAGTACGAAGGCGTAAAGTTTGAGAAGGGCAACTGTGGCGTGAGCATCATGCGGAGCGGTGAGTCCATTGGGGCTGCGCGGCATCAAGCAGGACAACGTTTATTAGTTAAGAGGCCGCAACCCACCTGGTTCGCGGAGTAGATAGAAGGGTTTGTTCGAGACGCCGCCGCCTCCTGCGCCCCCCCCTCCCTCCCCGCCACAGTCGTCCAGCGCCTTCCCGGAGGCGCCGAGAGGCGCCGAGGAGCTGGGCCCGGCGAGGCTCGAATCGGCTGCAGCCATGAGCCGCTCAGACTCCCTCCTCACGGGGGGTAGGAGGGGTGATCGATTCTCTAGAGTCGGGCGCGTCGATTCGTGCGGTGTCGATTCCTATTGTGTGCGGGAGGAGATGCGTGGGATTTCGATTCTATTTTTAAGCGAGGAAATCGATTCTTGCGTTGTCGATTCCTATTGGGTTGGGGGTGATGCGTGGATGGGTTTCGATTCATTCATATCCCCCCTTGCCACGAGACTGAACACAACACAGATAACCCCCTTGCCACGGGGCTGTGCGCGGTCATAATAATAAAGATGCTTCCCTTCCCATCCCGGCAGAGTCTTCCGGATGACGCTGGGTCAAAGTTCACCCCCATTTAAAATTTGATTTAAAAAAAATGTATTGGCCTTGGGGGATGCGGGAATCGATCCCGCCACCTCTCGCATGCTAAGCGAGCGCGCTACCAACTGAGCTAATGCCCCTCGACGTGGAACATGTCGAGTCCCTTATCTGCGACACCGTCTCACCAGGGCGCATCCATCTCCGCTCCTCCCCCCCCCCCCCCCCCCCCCTCCATCGCGTTCACTCGCTCTGTATCTCAGAGTCGTAATCTTTATTCAGACCGGAGGAATCCGATGAGCTATGAAGCGCTTTTTCACAGACGTCCAAGTGCAAAGAACGAGATGAGTGCAAAACAACGACGTGGCAAGCAAGCCACTGACAATATATGAATATAATAAAGTATGCAAGGACAAATTGCATAGGTACAGTACATTGCAAAGAAGCCATTGGAGTCGGCGTAGCTCTTCAATACAGATTGTTTTGGCGCGTTATTATCGCATAAACAAAATGTTTTATTACTTTAAGCGCAAATGGCTTCTATGCTCGTGAATGTAAAAAGTAGTTGCCTTTTTGAAAAATACAGTCTGTGTGGAGGACGCGGGTATCGATCCAGTGACCTAAACATCGGAGAATTCAACACACTTTGTGGCGTGCTCACGCTACCAGGTACGCTGATGTCTCCGTAGCCACCATGGTCCCCCTTGTGGTGTAGGTCACAAGTACGAAGGCGTAAAGTTTGAGAAGGGCAACTGTGGCGTGAGCATCATGCGGAGCGGTGAGTCCATTGGGGCTGCGCGGCATCAAGCAGGACAACGTTTATTAGTTAAGAGGCCGCAACCCACCTGGTTCGCGGAGTAGATAGAAGGGTTTGTTCGAGACGCCGCCGCCTCCTGCGCCCCCCCCTCCCTCCCCGCCACAGTCGTCCAGCGCCTTCCCGGAGGCGCCGAGAGGCGCCGAGGAGCTGGGCCCGGCGAGGCTCGAATCGGCTGCAGCCATGAGCCGCTCAGACTCCCTCCTCACGGGGGGTAGGAGGGGTGATCGATTCTCTAGAGTCGGGCGCGTCGATTCGTGCGGTGTCGATTCCTATTGTGTGCGGGAGGAGATGCGTGGGATTTCGATTCTATTTTTAAGCGAGGAAATCGATTCTTGCGTTGTCGATTCCTATTGGGTTGGGGGTGATGCGTGGATGGGTTTCGATTCATTCATATCCCCCCTTGCCACGAGACTGAACACAACACAGATAACCCCCTTGCCACGGGGCTGTGCGCGGTCATAATAATAAAGATGCTTCCCTTCCCATCCCGGCAGAGTCTTCCGGATGACGCTGGGTCAAAGTTCACCCCCATTTAAAATTTGATTTAAAAAAAATGTATTGGCCTTGGGGGATGCGGGAATCGATCCCGCCACCTCTCGCATGCTAAGCGAGCGCGCTACCAACTGAGCTAATGCCCCTCGACGTGGAACATGTCGAGTCCCTTATCTGCGACACCGTCTCACCAGGGCGCATCCATCTCCGCTCCTCCCCCCCCCCCCCCCCCATCGCGTTCACTCGCTCTGTATCTCAGAGTCGTAATCTTTATTCAGACCGGAGGAATCCGATGAGCTATGAAGCGCTTTTTCACAGACGTCCAAGTGCAAAGAACGAGATGAGTGCAAAACAACGACGTGGCAAGCAAGCCACTGACAATATATGAATATAATAAAGTATGTAAGGACAAATTGCATAGGTACAGTACATTGCAAAGAAGCCATTGGAGTCGGCGTAGCTCTTCAATACAGATTGTCTTGGCGCGTTATTATCGCATAAACAAAATGTTTTATTACTTTAAGCGCAAATGGCTTCTATGCTCGTGAAAAATACAGTCTGTGTGGAGGACGCGGGTATCGATCCAGCGACCTAAATATCGGAGAATTCAACACACTTTGTGGCGTGCTCACGCTACCAGGTACGCTGATGTCTCCGTAGCATCGAGAGGCCCTAGTGTCGTTGGTAGCGTGCAAGCTGTGTGCGTTATCTTCTTGGTTCTTTCGGTAAAGTCACGTAGAATGGAAGTAATAAAATAATAAAAATGAAGCATAATAAAATAATTATATTAGTATGTTATATTTTGATTATTTTATTATTTCCATTCTACGTAATAAAAATAAAACATGATAAAATAATGATTTTAGTATGCACTAGCAGAAGTACCCGGCGTTGCCCGGGTGAAAAATATATATTTTAAAAACCTTACATATATACACAGATACTAAGGTATTGTCAAAGCCCGGTGGGCTTTGACTAGGGGTCGGCACGGTTTGAACCGACTCAAACTGGTTTCAAATTGAGCAAACCAAACCAAACCAGCGACGACTGAACCAAACCAAACCAAAACCAAACCAAACTAAGCTAAACCAAACCTCTTGAGTTGGCTTGAACCGAAAAGATGCGCGGCAAACAATATTCGCATTCAATACAAATATCAAGTGTATTAATCGCTAATTTCTACGCAGGCTTTCTTCATATTGAGATTCACTAGCAAGTACTGGACGACGATGTCGTCCACAGCCATCTCCTCAAGCTTGGCACGCCCAATGTCCTTGAACGCAGTGTGGTAGTTCAATGGCAGTGAAACCCCAACACTAGGCAACATCCGCGCCCACGAGCGCACACACATCTCGGCCTTGAACGTGCACTTGTGCAGGTTTGGTCGGTCGAGAAAGGAGCGCTTGGCGGCCGAGTTTGCTCTCTCGGAGGGCACGGACGACGCCGGGATAGGCAAATAGTCGAGGGCCACGCGTCGCAGGCGCGGGTACTTGCCGCCGTACAGCTTCCACCACTCGACGACGTCCATGCTCAGGTCCTGAGTCGGCTCAAGCAGGAAGCGGTCGACCTCGGAGGCGGCGCCGTCGTGAGCGTTGGGCGCGTAGACCATGTCAAAGAGGATGTTAATGCCGCCACGCGGCGCCGAAGGCGGCGCCGCGTCCGTCGTCAACGCTGGGTAGCGCTGGTTGAGAATGTCCGTCATCATGTCCTTGATATTGCTGTACTCGGCCTTTACAACCAACCAAACTAGTTTGAGCCGGTTCCACCCTGTCCGAGCCAAACCGAGTCGGTTTTCGTAGCCCCAAACCAAACCGAACCAGTTCAAACAGAGCCAAACCAAACCGATTTGGTTCGGTTCAAACCGCGGTTTGGTGGTTTGAGCCAAACCGTGCCGACCCCTAGCTTTGACAATACCTTTAACCACTCACAACTCACCCTCACCACTCATCCTCACCACTCCCACTCACTACTCACCCTCACCATTCACCATCACAACTCGCCAATCTCCCTCACCAATCTCCCTCACCCTCACCACTGACCCTCACCACTCACCAATCACCACACACCCTCACCACTCACTCTCACCACTCACTCTCACCACTAACCCTCA